CTTATACCTCAAAGAGTTTTCTCTGGGACTAGGGGTAAAGTGGAAGGATTGATAGTAGAAAAAAATTAGGAAAAAATTTGCAATTCTGCTCCCCCGGTCATTGTCCCTATCATCCGAGAGTTATTTGCTAACACAAATAAACAACCAGATGAGAAGGTATTTGTACGGGTAAAGCAAGTAGCTTTTGATTCTAGTTCTATCAATTCCCTTTTTGACCTCCTTAATGTCTCCTAATTGTGAATTCTCTAACTTTTTAGCCACTGAAATTGATTTTCAAGAGATAATCGACTTTCTTACAGATTCGAGTGCTCAGTGAAAATTAGCGATGGGAAGGTTTTTCATTTCCACTGCTCAACATGAATAAAGAGTCTAAGGCTTAGCACTATTTTATTTATGTTAGACTCATACCTTCAACAATCGCTAATGAAGTCACTAAGAATCGTGTCATCCTTAACTTCTTTATCCAAACAGAAAGAGCAATTGACATAGGGTCCATTATCTATGACTATCCAGACATTGTGAGAGTGCGAACTACCATAAGATTAGGATATACATCCCTTATCCATGCTCTGTGTAGAAGTTGGAGCAAAGAGATTGAGTTGGGAGGAGCAGATTCATTCCATTAAGTCTATGATCAAATTAATTATCTTTTCTTATGTGAAAACATCTACCTATGAGCGTGGTGAGAGCTATTCTTGATCAACTTCTTCTCATCCCCCCATCCTTATGCATTGATTGTTGTTATCTCGGAGCGCTCGAGACTCTTTCACAGAAGTAAGCTATTATGGAATGAGAGATACATGATCTCGTTGAGCGCTCACACCACTACGCATAGCAGCATAGCGCTAATATGAGTATCATATTCAGTATCATACTGCTCAGTAGGAAATGTATCAGTGCAACCAGTGGAGCGTGGGGTTGCATCCTATAGTGTTTTCTAGTTTACCTTTTCAGTTTTATGAGATACCACCAAGCCGATGAAGAAGGATGACGACGAGCATGATGAGGATTAGATTTGGTTAGTTGAATATTTTGGACATTGACTTGATTCTGCTTACTGTTATGTTTTGTTTTTATGATGTGGTTGTATTGATTTATGGGTTGTGGTTTTTCTAAATTGTGATTCTATTTATTTTGAGATAAGGATTTGTATATGAAATATGCAGTATTGTAGGCTTCCATGTGTTCTATTGTTATAGCATGCACGTTGTAAAGACTTAGGAGATTAGTAGTGTTGCAATTGTTATGTGTTTTATTAAGCTTTCTTTTATATTATGTTTACTTCAGCATTAACCTGCTGTAATGTAATATTGTTTCCTGTATTTTCATGTGATATAGAAAATTTTACTTGTATATGCGATTTTAGTTGTGCAAATTTCCTGTTTACACATGTTATTCCTTTTTCCAATTGTTGAAACTCTTCATATGATATGTGTGATAGAAAATAAGTTTGAATGGAAAATATATATATATCTAATTGCCTAAAAGTGGTTTTTATACCTAAATTTTATATTTTACCATATAGTAGTAAATCATAATAGGATATCTTGAAATTTAATAATATTCATAAAATAACTTGAAAAGTAATACAAATATTTATTTAAAAATTGGATTGAAAGTTAATTTAATAGTAATTTAAAATCTTTTTCCAATTATTCTTGCACTTTAGCATAAGAAGTCTTAAACACTTAAGAAAGAGAAACAATGAATAAAATTAATTAATCATAAAAATTTAAGTCCATAGTTTTCAACTCAAATGCTCTAATTGAAACTTAATTTTCAATTGGATTATAGTATTTTTTAGTACACATTAAGAAGTAATTAAGCCTTATAGAAGTAATTAAGCCTTATAAATTAATGGGAGACTTGGAGACTAGACATTCAAAATGAATAAAATACATGACTAACTGGATATAATAATTCTTAGTGAAATGAAAAAAAAATGTGAAAAATAAAAAGAGAAAAATTTTATAATAATAAATCTCAAAAGATAAAAAAATTATAGAGATTTTGAGAGCAGCTTGAGATTAAGCATAAAAAAATCAAAATTTGGTATCTAATTCTTTTCTAAATTTATAAAACTTAAAAGCTTTCAAAATAAAATACTCAAATATTATATTCAAGAGAAGAATAGAGAATCTTGGGGTAATTTGATAGATAAATCAATTGGCTTAAATTTATCTTTGATAAATAAACTTATTAAAGTCAAATTGAATTAAACGCTTTAAGATTCATTATGCTAGAGAAAGAGATAATTGGAGAAATCTAATTCTTTAATGGTATTCATATATTTATAAGAAATTATATGATATTATTAAAGAATAAAGAATTTTTAAAATGAGAGCTACTAAATAGTTCAATTGAATCTAATTTGGGATATGAGATCACTTGACGGCAAGTAATTTGTAAGTTTGGAGTGATTTGATGTGTGATTAAAAATGTGATTTTTTGTAATGAGTTTTGATCTAATTTTATGTTGATTTTACATTTTTGTAATGTGTTTGTGTTTTATTTTACATGATCTAGATAAGAAGGATAATGGGAGATTAAATGATGGCGCTAAGACATCTAAAACATGTGTTCGAACCAGCAAAGGCAGAAAAGTCAGCAAAGAGGTGCTAGTTTGGTGGTGCCTAGATGCCATAATCCAGTGCCTAAATGCTTAGGCGCTACAAACCAGCGCCTAAACTCCCAACTCCCTAACTCTAAATGGCATAGACAACAGGGAGGTAGAAAAAAGGGTGTTAGCACTAGAGCCCAGTGGCCAAGCATCATATTCCAATGCTTAGGAGCTAGGTCAAGTATTTTGATGGTTTTGAAGGTTCAGTTGCATCATTTCCCAAAGGAAATGATAAATGTGCATCGATCAAACTATTTGGAGGTATCCAGTGTCAATCAAAGTATTCTAAAGCTTATTTAAGTGAGGAGAGTGTGTGAGGATTTTGTGTAAATTGATCGTGTAATCTAGTGAAACTTATGGAGGAAAAAAAACCCAGTGAAGCATCTCTTCGGTGATTTCCACCTGTTTTTTTCATTATTTTGATTTTGCTTTGATGAATTTACTTTGTTGTTTCAAAGCATGAGTATCGAGTAGAAGGCTTCATGTGATAGCCCAGATGGAGACATGAAGGCTTGAGTCGTGCTTATAGTTTCTAAGCGGCTAGAGAATGTGCAAAGAATAAAGATCAAATTCGAGTTGTTAGCGGGTTCACTCACTTCGATCTGGTAAGGTAACCTTGATTTTTTAAAAACTATAATATATAAAAGTTAGGATTCTTATTTAAGGTATTTCTATTTAACTTCTTCTTAAAATTTAATTGCAAATATTAGAATTTATTAATGATTATATAAACAAATTATTAGGTTAGGATGTTGCAATGAAAAGAATGAGAAAGAAATGAGCGAAAAGAGAAACTAAGAGGAAGGGAAAAGAAATTGATCAAGAATCATTCAAGCGTAAACTTCAAAAGTGAGTGTAAAGAGTAACTTGAATTAATAATTTAGAGATGTGTTTAATTTTTTAATTCATTATTCTTTAATGTTAAATAAGTAAAACCTAAATTATTATTCAAGAATGTTGAATTTGTATGATTAAGAGAAAAACACTGAACTTAATTAATATAAGCCTGTGATTTTGTTTATATTAGTTAATAAATTTAAACATAAGAAATAAGTGGACAAAAAAATTGAGAAGTTAAATTGGTATTTAAACTACTAATACTATGAAAAAATGTCGTGATTATTGAATGAAAATAAAAGGGCAATAAATTAAACTATGATGAGTAATTAGTTTTTTTAAGGGAGATAAAAATCATTAGAAGATAATATGGAAAATATTAATAAATCTACATACATTTAATGCAATAAAATAGTTATAACTTTAATTATGATATGAATGTAATAGTAAAAATAAATTAATCTGAATTTATATTAAATAAAATGAAGACTAAAATTTATTTACCAAATTGTTCAAGTTCTAATTCAAATAATAGATTTTTAATTTTGAAATTTTAATAAAAATTTACAATGATAATATTTAATATCAACAACAAATAATTGAATATTAAAAAAGTAAATGATTTGATTAAGAAATAGTTGAGATATAGAGATCATATGTTTATGTGCATGATTATTTAGATGTTTTGATAAGGAGGTGACACTCTAAAGACAAAAGACACCAAGTCTAAATTAAATGAAGACTAAATTTTATTTACCAAATTGTTCAAGTTCTAATTCAAATAATAGATTTTTAATTTTGAAATTTTAATAAAAATTTACAATGATAATATTCAATATTAACAACAATAAATTGAATATTAAAAAAGTAAATGATTTGATTAAGAAATAGTTGAGATATAGAGATCATATGTTTATGTGCATGATAATTTAGGTGTTTTGATAAGGAGGTGACACTTTAAAGACAAAAGACACCCAGTCATCTAATACAAGGCGTATACTCTTATTTCTGAATAATGATAATAATGTTTAATTTTTTTCTAAACTCAACATTTAAGGCCAAGATAATTGGATAGTTTTTGGCTTGTCAGATTTTTGTAATAAAAGTGACTTGATTAAAATATTGATAAGGTGTTCAACCACGATATCATAGGCAAAGTTACTATTATAACTGCCAATATTAAAGAAAACATATCATATGTCATTGGAAACTCTGCAGCACTGAGAAGTGTTATGTTAAATTAAGTATTGGCCCCAACGCTTTTCAAGTGTGACTAGGTCCTTCCTATGATGACAAGCATCTCCTTGTGAATCCATTTACTTCAAAATCTAATCAACATACAGAGGTCAAAGCCAATCCATTATGGAACATACCTAAGTACTTGAAATGTCTAGAAGTCAATACCGTGTTAAGTGTGATGAGTGTGGGTTTCTTTGAGTTTGATACCTATAATATACTAATTATACAGTATAAAAAATTCAGCTGATATAGGAAAATCTATAGAAGCTTGCTGAAACATAAAGCTAAAATGCGACAAAGTTACCTTGATCCATCTAAGGAACAGAAATTCTTTCACATGCTCGTGCTCATAAATTCAACTGCTCCATCAGCCTCCATAAATCTGGATTTAGTACAAATTTTTCAGTGTGAGATAAAGCTTATACACATGGAAAACATAATTATGAAGAGCATGGAAAGAGAACAGTCTGACAAAATACACACAAAGAAAGATCGTTTATAACTTAGATGAGAAACAAGTCACTTCAGTCTGACTAATAGATAGTTTTGCAAGCAAGAGCACCAGTACCAAATAGTCAAATAGCAAGAAATTGAATTGGATACACGAACACTGTCGGCATCATTCCAAACAAACAAATATGTTGATCAAAGCTTGAAACTGACTAATACAATCCCATAAAAAATATAAAGGATATATAAAGGAAACCAGAGTCTCAAAAAATAAAATTAGCAATTTTGGATTCCAGAATTTATTAATTGATTCTTTTCAGTAAATACTGACTAATTTCCTACAAAATCAGGTTGCAGTTGTTTGACATGGGAATACAGACAGGAAATGCTTCCGCTATGCTCGAGTCCAAGTAGTGAAAATACAATAGAACCTTCCATACTAAAAATCTAATAAATTATTCTCCAAATCTTGCTTATAGCTCATCAATTTAAGAACAAGCGAAATCATCTATTGGGTAGGTTTTACACGTACAAGTCATAAATTGCACAAAATTTTGAAAAACATAACTTTCTTCTTGTTACATAAAATGAAGTATACGAAAGATTTTTAAAGGTATGAAAGTCAAGTTTAAATGAGGTTTAAAGGTATGAAAGTCAAGTTTAAATGAGGTTGGATGAAACAATTTTGATTCCAGCATCCAGAAATCTAGAATGATCATTGGATATCCAAAAACCAACCACAAGCCATCAATTTCAGGACTCCTCTTCTCATGAGATGAATAGGTCAGTTTGAAGGAAATTTGGATAGACAAAAAACAGTAACCCTCTCCCCCTTAATGTATTTGTTACGAAGGATAGAATCAGGTGGAGATTAATAGTAACTATCTATACAACACTTCAAAATCCATTTACCCAAAAGAGAGAGAATAATAGATCTCATGTTGATGATCCCCCAAACCTCCAATTTCTTTAGCATAGAAAAAGCTTTCCAATTTTATACACGAAAAAAAAAAATGAAGAGAATTAGTAGAGTAACTCATTCCAACATTCGTATAGTATTTATAGAATGATAGAGAACTTCTAATAGAAAACATACAAAATCAAGAGATAATCATTCAAAAGAAATTACGATAGTCCCATGAACTTGTGTGATGGGATTAAGGATCCCATTTAAGCATGAGAAGACAATGAAAAGAAGCAATGAGAGCCTACAGAGAGCTAAGAGAACAGCAAGAAACTAAATTGATGGGCAACGAGCACCAACTGGAAGACAAATCTAGGGGATGGGTAGCAGGTCAACAAGGCGGAGATTAAGGAGAGATAATTGATGGAGTTGTAGATCCCCCAAGTAAATGAAATGATATTATTCACTCAAAAGTTGTCTGCTAACTTTTAAAAGGCTACCCTTGGCAATCCTTTGATGAGTATGCCCACAAATTTTTACCTGCTGTAGATGTTTTCTTAGGTGCTCCTAGAAAAACTGTTTGTCCCTTCGTATGTTATGAAAAAACAAAATTTCATATTCCCTTTAAGAATTTGCAAACTAATAACGACCATTTTTTATAATTTTACAAGATCTTCTGTTAGATTTAAATTGCTTCCTTCAATTCCAGGAGAAGAACATGAGACTAAACATATATGGTATTCTTGTTGTTACCTAGGGAGAGAAAACCATGTCCTCTTCATAGGAAAAATAATAATAATAATAAAAGATGAAAGAAATATTGCAATGCAGGGATTTAAGCTGCAAAAATGAAAATACTTTGCGATAATTCAGCAATAAAGGCTGCAACAATGGAAAATGTTTGCAAAATGCAAAGATGAAAGTTGTAGTGATAAAAAAAAATTGGAGAAAGTGTGGGAGTGCAGCAATGAAAGCTGTAAGTTTAAGTTAATGAAGTCATGAAGGCTGTAGTAATAAAAATACAAAGAGAAAAAAGAATAGAGCTCCTTTACCATGACATTAAATTGGAGAGAAGTAATTAAGTCATTCCAATATTTGCATAGGATTTATACAATCTTAGAAAAATACTAAAAGAAAACAAAAAAATAAAATAAAATAACAATAATTACAAATTCGGAGATGGCATCAAAGAACCCACTAATCCATGAGGTGACAATGAAAAGGAAAGATGGTGGGCCAGCAAGGCGGACATCATGGAGGTTAAATTCATGAGATGTAAGTATTAGTTAGAGAGGGAATCCACGGTTTGGGTGGCAAGGGTGTTGGTTGGGCGGGCATTAAGAAGGCAAAATTCATGAATTACAGGTATTTCTGCAACAAGAAAAGACCATTACCATCCGTCCTACCTTTACAGATAATTTTTCTCTAATCACATCATGTTATTTACAAGAAATTATTGCATCAGAACATAAGATGCAAATTTGCATCAGGTATCCAATAACATGGGGCCACATGGCAATTTGGGCCCACTGACATATACGGTTCGGGTCTGGGTTGCACGTGGCACCCTTTTATTGGACACCTGATACAATAATTTTTCGTTACTCACAGCCCATTGAGAAATATAGTAAAAGGCAATACAGAACGATAAAGCATAAAAAATGAACTGCGATTATTATATTTCCATACACCACATGACAAGAACTGTTGAGAAATTAGAGCAAAGGAACGTAATAATCAAGAACCGAACAATCATGATCAAACACATGGATTTAACGAGATTTGGCAAGATGCCTACGTCCTCGGGAGCGAATAACAACGGCAACTTTTTTATTTCACGAAAAATAGTACATCCCTTTAGGATTACAAATACAATATATATATATATATATATATATATATATATAACCCTAGTGTACAATATGTAATTACAAAATTATCCTTATATTGCCCCCGCACCCCCAACCCACTTAACGAATCTCCATTCCGTTGGCTCGCTCCAGCAACTGTCCCTTATCTGATATATGAGTCATACCTAACCAGAACTCTCTAGAGAACGACGCTCAAATATGAGTTAATATCATTTATTTAATGAAAATTCTAGTGTTTCTAGTTTTCAAAAATTCCTTTCAGTTTGTCCTTACGTTAAAATTTTATTTAAAGTGCATCAAACATTAAAATCAATGAATTAACAAAATTAAAGTTGAAATTTACTCCAACAGCTGAAAAATTATTTCAAATATGAACTGAACTAAAGTTAAAAGACAATCTAAGATTTATGATCCTTTTTCATTTTAGACTTCATGAATTCAATTTAAAATTCTTAGCAAACTTACCAACTGACTCAAATTAAAGAACAATCAAAGGTTTATGATAAACAACTCAAAACTAAAGTTTCAATCGCCGACATGGTGGATTAAATACCTTATGCATAGGACACACTTAATAATATGCTTTTCAACTACATAAATTGGTTCAAGCAAGAATACCATTATTCCAAGGCGCAAATATCTCATAAGAGAACGAATTTTGGATGCCTACAATGCAAGGACATAACTCATCCGCATCTGAATCACAAGAATGCTTAATTATACCCAGTTCAAGCTTCAAAAGGGTCAACCAAAAGCTACTATACATTTGCACCAAGTAAGCTGGATTTGGTGAATATTCCCAATCTCATTCAGTGCATGCAAATTCTTGCTTTTTTCTCACCAAGTTTAGAGCTTTAAGATGCATAAAAATCAGCGGTAGGATTGAATCCAAAGCATAGCTCCCCTTGAGACACTCTTGCATGATTGGCATGAAATTATGAACCTGTCATATTGAATTCATACACCCTTACCAGAACATAGGAGATCTGCCATCCTCTATTCCCACATTTACCAAAACAACAGCAGATAGTACCGCCATGAAATCATCAAACTCTCACCTCAACACCAAGCAACCATTAATCAAATAAATATCCCCACAATTAGAGCTGAATAAAACCTCAATTAACAAGAAAGGCAAAACCCAACTTAGCCATTAACAAAATTCCTCTAAAAAAGAGCTCACAATCAGCTCCAAAAACGCAAATCCTCCCAAAAAAAACTCACAAATCACCTCGAGACAGACAAAAAAAATTCAAAAACTTACGGTAAATTCCATGGGCGAGCAAACAAAGCCAACAAGATTCAAACTTTCCTTCCGGAAACCGATCAAAGGCGAAGGAGGAGGGAGGGAGGAAGGAGCAATTAGCCCTGAAGCAAAGAAACAAGTGGGCGTTTTCCGTGGGGCCAATGCTTGGAATGAGCGAAGGGCTTTCTCTCGTGTGCTATTGTTCTTTTTTCATTAGTTGGCCGGGGTTTTGTCTTATCGTCACCGCCCCGGTAAGTACTAGCGGCCGCCAAAAACGGAAGATATGTTAAGAATTCCCCCCGGTCGACTCTTCATGGCTGCACGACTAGAGCGTCATCGTCCTGGAAATCCTTCACGGAATTGCGGGGGGTGGGCGGCGCGTGGTTCTAAGAGTTGAATGTATGATGGCCCATTTGCGCTACATTGTACCATCAATTAATGGTGACACTACCATATTATACGTAGCATCTAATGTACTCCATAAACAATTAACAATGTGTTCGAATAGAGAGATTATTGCGTGCGGATACCGCATGTATCTCTGCATGCGGTGTCCGATCCTGGCCGTAGATCACGGTGATCTACGGCCAGGATTATTTCTGTTTTTTTATATAAAAAAAAAATT